CGTCTGACCACCAATGTCAGGAAGACTCTCGACACTAGGCACACCTCAAACGCGAATGAGTTTTAACCCGATCGTCACCACACTTTCTACTGCGTTCCTCCGACCCTCGGCTCTGATACCAGGTTGTAGGGAAATTAATGAGCAAATTGACCGGGCCCAAGCCTACTCCACCAGGCCCAAGTTACCTTTTTGCAACGTTTTTTGAATGTTGCTAATACCTTTTTGCAACGTTTTTTGAATTTTGCTAATAATCTTTTTGCAACATTTTTTGAATGTTATCTATGATTATATCCTTTTTTTTAGCAACATTTATTGAACGTTGTTGTTTCCTCCCTTAAAAAAAATTTACTACATAAATTGTCATATTTACAATAATCTTTACTACATAAATTGTCATATATCAAACTCATTTCACAATAATCTTTAACTTTATTTATATAATAATAATAATAATAATAATAATAATAATAAATCCATCATCACAAATAATAAATATCACATGCTTATTGTAAGAGAAAAAAAAAACCTTACAATTATAGTACTTTTCAATTGTCCAACTAACAAAAACAAGTATTGTGCACGTCTGAAATAATTCTAACTTGAAAATATTTCTCTAAACTATAAAAACCATTTCGTTTTCATCATATTTGCATTACAAATTCAAACAATATAAGATAAGACAATTTTAACCCAATTTTTCCACCTATACATTAGTGAAATGAAACAATTGTACTTGCCACATTTCGAGACACAACAACATCAACTACTGCTCGACTTTTAGTGAGGTCTCAATATTTTGGATGAGCTTCTCCACAGCCATTGCACCTTCCTGAAAATTGCAATTACTGCTTCATCTTGAAAATGCATTCTACAAAAGAATTTAAGTTATTCAAATCTAGTTTTAGTAAAGAGAGGTCTCATCTTTTCAATACATTAGAATGATGCCTGGTTTCTTTTAACGGCAATATCAGTTTTCAAATTTGAGCAAAGTAATTGAGAGAGACACTAGAAAAACAAGGAGCTAAATAAGAATCATGATATCCCAATGAAATTGAAAATTATAAAACAAGGAGCTAAATAAGATGCATAACGTATTTTAGAATCATCATGAAATGTCACGGTAGAAAATTTTTCTGCAGGAATATCATTTTCTTTATTTTTAACAGGTTATATGCTTCTATCATTTTACTTAAAAACTACTTACAAATTGCACTTCCTCGACATGAAGAATCCACCCTGCTCAGTTCATTCTTATAAACCTTAAATGCAGAGAAAGGGCATTAAACTAGTATTAAAATTGTACTGTCCAAAATATATAATAGCCTGCAAAAAAGAATATTTTGTATCTCTATTTGGAAGTACTAAATAATGAATTATCAATATTTGGAAAAAAAAAAACAAATCTTGAATTCATCATACAGCAACAAGACCCAAGCCATACCTTAGTAGGATGCGGATTAACCGCATCGAGATAAAGTAACTCAATCACAATAATGTTTTTCATGTCATCATCTACTTCTTCGCCACATCGTATTATGCTCTGCAAGATGAATCATTTTAGCAAGTTAACTATGATACCTAATTGCAGAATTGATCGAACCAATTTGGGTATAACATCAGAAAATGTAATTAAGGGTAAATACAACTTTTTAATAATTTACACACATCCATGAGGAAAACAAAGGGGTCAAGGCCAAAGAGTTGTTTGATTTGAGGATACTAAGAAATGTATAAATTCTTCGAGAGGCATGGGGTTCATCTACATATGACTCGAAAAAATATGTAGTGTGGATACCTCGCTCTTCATCGTCGCTGGTGGCGATGCCTTGCTGTAGTCGGATAAGAAGGTCATGATTTGTAAGGTGGAGGCGCAATTCTCTGATGAAAAATGCAAGAGGAAGTAGGCTTTGTTTTGTTTTTTAGGCCGAGTTAATATTGGTTGGGTTGTGGGTTGTGGACTACTTTTTACAACGTTTAACGAATGTTGCAAAAAGTAAAATTTTTCAAATGTTCCCGCAACATGTAAACTTTGCAAAAAAACAAACTTTTCACAACATTTAATAAACGTTGTAAAAGTGAGACATTTTGCAACAGTTAGTGAATGTTGCAAAGGGCTATATATTACGAGTTTTTCCAACATGCATTGAACGTTGCTGTAAAATCAGATTTTAACAACATTTAGTAAACTTTGCAAAAAAATCAAACTTTTCACAATATTTAATAAATGTTGCAAAAGTGAGACATTTTGCAACAGTTAGTGATCATTGCAAAATGCTATATATTATGAGTTTTTGCAACATGCACTAAACGTTGCTGTAAAATTAGATTTTAACAATATTCAATAAACGTTGCAAAAAATAAAACTTTTCGCAACATTTAATAAACGTTGCAAAAAGTAACATTAGTAACATTCATCTAAAAAACATTGCCTAAACTCAATTATGTTAACTAATGACAATATTCACTTGTTAAAATGTTCCAACAGACCCATTTAGCAATAGTCAATTAATGAATGTCGTCTTTTTAGTGTTGTAATAGATCACTTTTGTTGTAGTGAACGTTAATATAATCATGCACGCTTTTAAAATTTAAACAAAACGGGTATACTTCAAAGGACTATTCATCTTACAAATTAGTCATATCTTCGTTCTCCAAAAAATTTATCATTTGTTGAGAATATCCCTGTACTTTTTTCAATGAGAAAGCAGAGTTGCTGACACTTTTATTTGTGTTCACAAGTCACATAATTTATCAAATGCAAAATGTAGGTATGAGAGAAAATGAAGATCATACAGTAACTTGAAAAAAAAGGAACAACGAAAGAAGCTAGAAAAAAGAAGTAAATAAGTGACAGGAAGCAAAAATTGGTCGTGTTTTCAAATTTCAAGCAACAGTGATCATTTAAACACAGGATAGGGGCTACTCAATCATCTTTGCAACCCATTTTGTTACCTATCACATGTCACTGCCTCACTGCATAAAGCTCTAAAACACGTCAACAGTTTGCTATATATTACTCATTTAAAGGAAATAACTACAATTATATCAAAATTTGAAACAACTTCATTACATGGACAACTGGATTTCACCCCACAAATACTAAAATCTTTTTCCAGTCACAATAAAATCTGAAAGTTGACAAGTATAAGAAAGCCAAATAAAATCAACACAGGTCCAATGCAATAAAAAGAATCTGATAGCGTGGTTCAATTTCCATTCATCATTTGAAATGTGTCAAAAAAAATCACTTCCAAAAAATCATATTCAAGTAGGCTTCAAGCAATGATGTGGCTGCATCAAAGACTAGAATGATTTTACTTTACAAATTTTGCCAAAAAAAAGGGAAAAAAAAGGGTGTCATTTTGGTCATATTATGTCAACTAAAACTTGCACAAAATAAAAATCCCTACATGTTCAGTTTCCGGTGCTCCCAGACCATGTTTGCAGTCCAAATTAGAGGAAAACAAGTACAAAAGGAGCACACTTTGCATTACATATATTTATATTAGGCTGTAATAGATCGGTTTTTTCTCAATAATTTTTCTTTAAGATAGTAGTTTCAAATACTAAACTAAAAAAGCGGCAAACACAATCCAGAAACGTAAACAATATCTTTAATACACAATGCTCCAACAAATGCATCTCAAATAATGAAAAGAGTTAGACGAAAAAATATAAATTCAAAAGAAATGAGCAGGTAACACTAAAATTAAAACCACCACTTAACTAATGCTCCACTAAAAGTGTGGCCAATGCTATCAAGAAGCAAGTTTGAAGTATAGTAAAAGCAGTATGTGACAAAAATTATTGCATTTTATAGATAGGAAAAAGTCTCAAAAATCATAAGATGACTTCAATATAACCCCAAATTATTATACCACTTGGGAGTTTCAATACTGATTCAATAGATCATGTCAATTTTATACTGACATTAAAAATGTCATAATGATATAAATCAAAAAGTCTCCTACAAAATAGCCATCAAACTCAAATTAATTTTATAGGGGGAATTTTCCCCAGTTCATAAGCAATATATATATGGTTTAAGCTGCACATTTTGTCACACCTCCAATTCGATGAAGCTCTTCCAAAGCTTTGGATCTTCATAATCTTTAATTAGAAAAGCAGGATTTGCTTCCATCAACAAGTGTGCCAGATTTCCTATTGTGAAGCCAATAACGGACATCCCCGAAGCAACCCTGACTTTTATTCCTGAAACAGAATCCTGGACAACCAAAAGATACATAAATTTTATGAAGTATGAGCAACTAATCTTAAAGGGAGTGTGGATGAGGTCAAACCTCAAATACAAATGTGTTATCCTGGAAGACATTGAGAATTTCAAACACTTTCGAATAGGCGTCTGGAAATGGTTTAGCATGTTCACAGTTACTTCCAAGAACTACAATACGAAAGAAATTTGACAGTCCAAGAGTCAAGATCATCTGTTCAGCATTTGGTCTTGGAGCATGAGTAACATCAGCTTGTTTCAGACCACGGTCTTCTATCCATTTTTTCAATTTGTACAAACTATTTACAGGTTTCAACTGCTCCTTAACCAACTTGTAGTTTTCGCTCAAAATAATATGTGTAAAGGCAAAGTTGCAATAAATATAAAATTCACATTCTGAACATAGCTTCCTTGTCATCACAAAATTTTACACCCCTTTCATAATCATTGGGGAAAAGAATAGAAGCAATATCACCATTGTGCTTCCCGACAATATTATTGAAAGAATTCCTCATCAATTAGGACGCCACCATTGAAGCCAATCTGTTAAATAGCTCAGCATTTTTAAAAACCCCGTAAAACAGTGATGACATGCATTGAAATTAATTAGTTGTTTTACTAGTTTGCAAGAAAATAAATTTTTTCCATGCATAACGATATCTGATTGGCAATATGTAATTATAAAAGTAAATAACAAAGAATAGTTCACACCTTCTGAAGCATTTCAAGGAAAGCATAATAGTTGAGGGGATCTGAATCGCAAAAAGTTCCATCAACATCAAATAGTACTGCCTCAACATAATAAACAAGTGGCCAAAAGAAAAAAAAAAAAATACAAACAGAAATATTTTAGCCCAGAGAATACATAACGTTGAAGTAAAAAACCATTTGAACAGCAAAAATGAAAGCTCAATGAAGAGACTACAAAATATATACAGGAACCCATAAATAATTAATTAAAAAAAAAAATTTTGTAACAAAACTTACCCAACAAACACTGTACGAAAAAGCCGAGGATTCCAAAAGTCAAAACTATAATCGCACACACAAAAATGGAAACAAAAGAAGAAGGCAGCTTCAAATACATAACATTTGATAGTGAACTTATCATAAATCAATAGGTTTAGAAAAGATTTTGTAAAGGAAAGGAAAAACCAAAACCAAAACAAGACGACAAAGTGGCCTGTACCAAATTATCATATAAAATTAACATACCTCAGGTGACAAATGTTCCAGCCATGTAAATTTTTGTACTTGTTTGGGAAATTTCAAAAAAGAATAACCAGAAATTACTATAACCATCGAATTGACGAACTAAGAAAATAAAATTATACACAAAGAACAGCTACATATAAATAAGTTCAAAACACACAATATTTGAACCTGAAAGCATCATAAATCAGCATATTAAGAAAGATCCAACCAAGTAACTCAAGAGATTCCAAGAGCAGATTTTTTCAGTTAACTGAAGCTTTCCCTAATTTTCTATACAAGATAAAGCTAGGGGATTAATGTAATTTCTGTATTTTGTGAAACGAAATTCTAATACAGAAGGTAGCTCTACTAGTATTCAAAATATGGATGGCTGCACAAATTATCTTCAAATGCAATTGTACTGTTAGGAAAAAAATAATAAAAAAAGCACCAGAAAAGCATATTCCTAGGGCTTTGAAGTACAAAATACAACATAGTCCAAGGTTTCCAAACCTCAATACTTGGCCTCACCAAAAACAGAGGAGCACCATATGTTATAGTAGTTTCTGGAGAACGAAAGAAATTACAATTTTATTTTCATAAAAGCCTCGAAAGTATACGACCTAATGCATGTGGAAATACGCTTAATCTTTGGTGGGCTGTAGACTACAATCTTTCGGGAAACAGCACCATCAAAGCTGAAAAATCAAAGGAAGCTCCATCTTTCTATTGAATTCTTAACCCATAAAGATCATAAAGCATACATTCAAAGCTGGGGTTCGTCATAAACCCTTTTAGGCTTCGAGTCAGATTCTTCCTCAGGCTGACTAAATGCAACAAAGTGAAAATGTGTCGTTTTTCACTTGGTATATCTGGCATTGCCCATAGATACGAGTCAGGTGCTGACAGAACCTTTTCGACTTACAGCCTTTGTGTATTTTTCGGTTTAGGTGTTGCGTATTCAAAGGATATAACATTTTCTTCACTTAGAGAATGAAAAAATAAGTTCAAAATGCTCAAAATTTGAAACTCAAATCATTAGAAATGAACAAATGAAGAAATGATTTCTAAAAAGTAAACAAACCAAAACTGAAGAAACAAATAAGCCTAAAATGAAACAACTATGAAATTGACATACCTGAGGTCGCCGGTCCCCTATTTCAGTATCAATTTTCTCCTTCTTTTGGAAACTGAAGGAAACTTCGCAATGAAAGAGGAAAAGAAATTCCCACTTCACAGCAAATCTGAACAAAATACAGAAGAACATTAAAATGAAGCTACAATTCGTAATTTTCAGAATGATTTTGTGCAAATGATTTGGAAACTTGAAGAAAAGTTCGAAATCAAAGAGGAAAACGAACTCCACTTCACAGGTACGTAACAAAATAAACAAAGACTTTAAAATAAACTTGCGATTCATACGTTCGAGGATGATTTCGTGCAAATGATTAGGATACACGACTGGAATTAGGGTTCAAGTAAAACGGCAGCAACAATAAATGGCTCGTCTTCGAAGTTTTCTTCTATTGAAATTAGGCTGGAAGTAAAATGGCTCGTTTTGGGAGTTTTCTTTCCCTTGTGGAACAGCGAGAAGATATTTTTTAACGATTATTCTATTTTTGAAAAGCTACAGTAAATGGCTTGAGTAGGTCAACAGTGGAAAGCAATAAAGCAGCCACAGTAATTTGAATGAAATGGAAATAATTAACGCCTCTTTGTAGTGAACAGTGTCAGTTCAGTTACAGTGTGGAACCAGCATAGTGTGAAAGCTCGGCCTCAAGATGAATAGTAACGTTTGTATCCTCTCGTTTAAGGTGAAGCAAGAGAACTCTTGCAGTTGGCTCTTAACTGTATTTAGCAAGGGTCCTTTTTGATAATTTTCAAGGGGTCATTTATCGTTCAGTGTGTACTAGTATTCATTGATTAATTTCCTGGAGGAGCCTATACTAATTTCACTAAGTATTTTTTTTTAATAACAAAAAAATATAATATAAAGTCATGTAGAAATTTAAAAAAACTTCAAAATTCATCCCTCTGCCACTACAAATCTTTTATCAGCTAATCCAAGTTATGTAATTGGTGTGTTCAATATCTAATAGTATAAAAATCAATGTTCTAAAAATATGTCCGAGTATCAACTTGAAAAAGGATAAAGGGATCACGGGATTCAACAGGGTCAAATCAATTTTAAAAAAAATAAATATTTAGATAATAGTTTCGATTCTTGCAAGTCAAGGACCTATAATCTGAAAGCTGCCACCATGTCGTCTTCACATCTTCCAGCAACTACAGATTCACTTGTTCTGGCTACTGAAACAAAAACCCCATCGGAGGCAATATCTATCCTCTATCGCATACTTGACAATCCCTCATCATCCTTTGACGCCCTAAGGATAAAAGAACATGCCATCTCCAATCTCTCTGATCTTCTAAGACAAGAGAACAGAGCCGAGGAACTAAAAAATCTAATGATTCAGCTCCGGCCCTTCTTCTCATTGATACCCAAGGCAAAAACTACAAAAATTGTCTGTGGAATTGTTGATGCAGTAGCAAAAATACTAGATACATTAGATCTCCAGATTGCCCTATGCAAGGAAATAGTGCAATGGACCCGTATAGAGAAGCGAACTTTCCTTCGTCAACGAATTGAGGCAAGACTTGCAGCTCTTTTGATGGAAAACAAGGAATATTCTGAAGCATTAAATCTTCTTTCAAGGCTGATAAAGGAAGTGAGAAGATTAGATGATAAGTTGCTACTTGTCGATATAGATTTATTGGAGAGGCTCCTGAATTTGCTGATTGTTAATTCTGTTGAATACTTCCACTTATTCCAACACCTCCTCTCAAGATGGAACATCTTGAGTTTTAGAGGGAATAGCAGAGATGCAGGAGAAATTGGGGTCGACAGAGAAGCACTCCGGAGAGAAAAATAGCAATACACTTCAACCGAAATGAAAAAGCATCCATGGCTCTGAAACCGGGGATTTACTGAAGGAAAACTTCATCACCATTGATGAATAAAATGAAAACTGGAAATGCCAAACACGAGTGTAATCTCCAAGCCTCTCACTAGTGGGAACTTTTGTCGAACACCTTGAAGGAAATTCGAGAAAACTGATTTGATTGAATATGAAATTCAGCTTCCGCATGGAGATGCAAAGAAGCTTTATCAAAGAAGAAAAGAGTAGCTGGAACGGAAGCCATTACGCTTTGATACCCTGTAGAGAAATTGAAACCAGTAGGAAGAAAATGAAAAGATAGAATTCAATATGAACACATTGAAGGAACTTGACAAAGGGGAATTTTATTATTCATCAAGTTCAATTAACATTGTGAATACATTGATCTATTTATAAACTAAAATATCTAACAAACTAACTACATAACAAATTAAAGAAGAATCTGGAAGAAGAGGCTGCGTGTGATATGACAAGCTGGAGAGAAGGCAGTTGCACGTGAGCTGGACCATTGGAGAGGCTGGCTAGATTTGCTGATTGTTAATTTTGCTGAATACTTCCACTTATTCCTGTTGACCTATGGTTGATCATGACCTTAATATTTTGATTATAACAAACAAATCCATCTTGATTACTACCAAAATGAATTGAGTGTTTAAGCCTTCAAAGTTATAAAAATTATTATTCACACTCAAATGAAGTACAAGT